TTTTTTGAGACAGAGTCTTGCTCTGTTGCCCAGGCTAGAGTGCAGTGGCTCGATCTCGGCTCACTGCAGCCTCCACCTCCTGGGGTCAAGCAATTCTCCTGCCTCAGCCTCCCAATGAGCTGGGACTACAGGCATGTGTCACCATGCCCTGCTAATTTTTTGTATTTTTAGTAGAGACGGGGTTTCACCATGTTAGCCGGGATGGTCTCGATCTCCTGACCTCATGATCTGCCTGCCTCGGCCTCCCAAAGTGATGGGATTACAGGCGTGAGTAATCCCAGGCCTGGAAATTTTCTTTCTACATAAAACATCTCATTTACTTTTATATCTTTGAGTCTTCTGTTCTTTCTTTTAAAAAATAAGGGGCATGGCTGGGGATGATGGCTCATACCTGTAATCCTAACAGTTTGGGAGGTCAAGGTGGGAGGATCAGTTGAGCCCAGGAGTTTGAGACCAGCCTGGGGAGTGTAGTGAGGCCCCTGTCTCTACAAAATAAATGAAAATTTTAGCTGGGCATGGTGGCCATGCCCGTGGTCTTAGCTGCTCAGGAAGCTGAGGTGAGAGGATTGCTTGAGCCCAGGAGGTCGAGGCTGCAGTGAGGTGTAATTGTGTCACTGCACTCCAGCCTGGGCAGCAGAGCGAGACCCAGACACAAGTGGCGGTGTGTGGTGATGTGGTGCTTGTGCCTCTTCTCTTCCCAGGCTGCTCAGAGTGTTAACAAGGCGTTGGAGCAGTTTGTGAAGCCGGAACAGCTTGATGGAGAAAACTCATACAAGTGCAGCAAGTACGCTGGGTGATGACTTGGTTTGCTGGCTGCTCCAGTGGGGTTGGCTGGCAGGCTTGGTTGGAGAGAGTTTGGTGTGTCTAGGTTGCTTGAGTTTCTGATACCCTCTGGAAGACACTGGGTCCCTGTCGTCCAAAGGCCAGAACCCAGAGTGTCTTGATGTGTGCATTTCTGCAAGACACGCAGCTCCGTGCCCCTGAAAACCTGGGGCATGACATTGGGCAGATATTGTGGGAGGAGAGAGGTAAAACTATCTTTGCTTCCCTGGCAGTGCTGCTTCAGGTGTGACTGGGCACCCCCTGTCTGCCGAATAGCATTTTCTTTGACTTTCCTATGATAAGAGGGCTGCTGTCGGGTGGGGAGTACTTTCTTCTGGGATAGCTAGGCTCCTTCTCTCTTAGGGAGGGTTCCCAGGGTTTGGGATAGCATTTGCTGGAAAACTCTAATTTTGATTATTCGTTAATATGTTTCCCCATGAAGTCAGGAGTGCCTATTTTAAGAATGTTCTTTCATATGTTTTTAAGTAGATTTCCACTTCGTGGTCAGGTAATATGAGTAATTTTTTTTATCAAATCTTTGAGACCAGAGGGATTTTGCCTTTGTTTTAAATTCTACAGACTTTTCTAATATTTATTTTTATTATTTTTGTTTCTGGTTAGGGCTTTCTTTTCATATAAGAATATTATTATTTTTAAATTAGATGAATTTAAGACATATTTTCACATAATTATACCAGTCTGAACATGTTCATTTTTCAGTTTCTTTTGAATTGAGAGAAAGTTGTGTTAACCTAATTTTAACATTATTGGTAGCACATATGGCTTGGTTTTTCAGAATTGTCCTAACTTCCTTTCCCTTCACGCTAAGTAAGCAGTTCCCCCTATATTTTTAATGTTAATATTTTCACTGTTGGTTGAAGACTGGTGGTTCTCATCCACTGTCCTTTTTGGAACCTTAATGTGGAATGTTTGAGAATAATAACAAAGACCAAAATACCAAAAATCGTGTGTACATATTCGTCTCCTTAAACTTTTGTTTCTGTTTATTTCAAGGTGTAAAAAGATGGTTCCAGCTTCAAAGAGGTTCACTATCCATAGATCCTCTAACGTTCTTACACTTTCTCTGAAACGTTTTGCAAATTTTACTGGTGGAAAAATTGCTAAGGTATGTGGATGATGTCATTAATCATCTTTTGTGTCGAGCCTTTCAAGGCTTACGTGTCTGTAGCTATTAAGGATTAAGGACTTGACTTTCTCATGACAAAATTGTTAACTATTACCTACATTTGGGCTTCATTGTCCATTTTGTTGGTGTCCATGGTTATGAGGGATACAGGGAGAGCCTGTATAATCTGAAATCCAAAGAGGACTTCCTGCTAGACCCTGCCACCTTTTCACCAGAGTTCATTTTGTCTTGTGCGTTTGTTTTCTGATTGGTAGTACACTGAATTTTCCCATTTTCTTCCCACTTTCTGAAGATTGAAAGTGGTCAAAAACTAAATAGCGTGCAAGAGAAGTAAACTATCCATTCCCGAATTATTAAAATTAAATAATCAGCTGAGTGTGGTGGCTCATACCTGTAATGCCAGCACTTTAGAAGGCCTAGTCAGGCATATCACTTGAAGCCGGGAGTTTGAGACCACTCTGGCCAACGTGGCAAAGCCCTTTTCTACTAAAAGTACTAAAATTAGCTGGGTGTGGTGGCAGGCACTTGAATCCCAGCTACTCGGGAGGCTGAGGCAGGAGAATCCCTTGAACCTAGGAGGCAGAGGTTGCAGTGAGCCGAGATTGTGCCACTGCACTCCAGCCTGGGCTATAGTCAGATTCTGTCTCAAAAAAAAAAAGTAATGATTAATGTTGAGAGTTGTCATTTTGTTACTTTGTCCTTTGATGGATTTGAAGAATTCACTTAATGTAGATCCTGACTTGTTAAAAGAAAATAATAAATGCAGCAAGATTACCTTAAATACACTTAGATTCAGCTATCCTCCCGGTTAACTATGCCCTTTCGAAGGTGGCTAGCCCAGGCGCAGGGACTCACGCCTGTAATTCTAGCACTTTGGGAGGCCAAGGCAGGTGGATCACGAGGTCGGGAGTTCAAGACCAGCCTGGCCAAGATGGTGAAACCCCATCTCTACTAAAAATACAAAAATTAGCTGGGCGTGGTAGTGCACCTGTAATCCAAGCTACTCGGGAGGCTGAGGCAGGACAATCACTTGAACCCGGGAGGTGGGGCTTCCAGTGAGCCGAGATCATGCCTCTGCACTCCAGCCTGGGTGATAGAGTGGCACGCCATCTCAGGAAAAAAAAAAAAAAAAAAAAAGGGGCTAAATGCATTAGGTTTTTAAAATGCATTAGGTTTTTGCTAGAACATCACAGGACTCAGGTGTTCTGTGGGTCTCCCCTCCTAGGGAGCTCTAAATACCCTCTACCTGAATATGTGGAATGATGTGTGCCCTCAGAAATGTTTCTCCTTTTTCCATTTCTGTTTAGGATGTGAAATATCCTGAGTATCTTGATATTCGGCCATATATGTCTCAACCCAACGGAGAGCCGATTGTTTACGTCTTGTATGCAGTGCTGGTCCACACTGGTTTTAATTGCCATGCTGGCCATTACTTCTGCTACATAAAAGTAAGCTGTGCACATTTGCTATTAACTATTGTTACATACATGCTGTAAGACAGCAGTAGCATTCTTGAGGTAGGGAGAGGTGGAACTTTTACAGTTAAAATGTGAATACCCATTGTAAAAATATTTATCTTGACCAGGTGCAGTGGCTTACTCCTGTAATCCCTGCACTTTGGGAGACTGAGGCTGGGGGATCACTTGAGGTCAGGAGTTGGAGACCAACCTGGCCAACATGGTGAAACCCCGCCTCTATTAAAAATACAAACAATTATCTGGGTGTGGTGGCACCTGCCAGTAATCCCAGCTGCTC